CAGCGGTTCGAGGCCAGTCCGGATCGGTTTGGGTCAGTTCAGCACTGGTCCAACTGGACTAGTCCAGGGAGAATGAGCCAAGCTTCGGGTCGATTACGCGGATCCTTGGTCGGGTCAACAGGTTGACGCACAGATTCTGGGGTAAAATGATGTCGTTTTGGTCATTTAATGAAACAGTGTCATTTTGACATTCAACTTTTTATAAAAACCAAAAAATTTTTTCTCATTTTCTTTTCTCCCTTTCTTTCTCTACACCTCTCCCTCTCAGAGAGCTTTTCTCTCTAGATCGGTAGACTGATCATCGACCGCACTGTCGGCCATTGATCGTCGGTCATCGACGTAGTCATCGGCTGTCGAAAAATCTCAAAAAATTTTAAAAAATTTCTTTTTGTCCCATGAGCACAGATCTGAGCTTGGTTTCACATGAAAATGTCTCAAACGGTTTAGATCGACTTTCAAAACTTCGACCAAATCTTCTCTCTTTTTTTTTTTTATTTCGACTTTCATTTTTTCATTTTTTTACTGACTTTTCTTTTCTTTTTATTTGTAGGGAGCTCTCGGCACTAGGTTCCTTATATTTGGGAAAGACTGTGATTTTTGTTGTTTTTTTCTTTTGTTTACGTGTGGGTTTTTTATTTGGCAGAAAATTTTTTTTTTTTAATTTTCGATTTTTTTTTGCAGGGTCTCATTTCCTACTCTCTTTTTGGGGATGGTCATAGAACTCTATTTAGAGATCTCCTGTTGTGGTCCTATGCGTGGGCAGGTGGCACAGGACTTGACAGAAAAGGGTGTCGTCAATCACCAGTCTCTCTGCCTCCTATTGTCCCTTCTGTTTGGTCTAGCTTTGGCCCTGTGCCTGGGTATGTGGCATAGGGCTTAGTAGGGGAGATGGTGCCAGTGGTGTCATGCACAATACCAGGCACCCCTGCCTCCTTTGTTTTTTTCTTTTCTTGCATTTTTCTGTTTGTTTTTTTTTTTTTGTTATTTTCTTTCTTTCTTTTTGTATTTTGTTAATTTAACAAAACAAAATAAAATAAAAATAAACTAAAAATAAAAAGTGGATCAGGCCCAAACAATGAAATCGACCCTTAAGCCCGATTGGGTCTAAATCAAATCTTGGGCTGAAAATCAGGTTATAAGTCTCGAACAAATTTGATGTTTACAATAATTTTTAAAATTTTAAATTATAAAAATAAACACATTTAATCTTAAAAATATATTTAAAATTAATAATATAATATGCTTATAAAAATTTTAAACTTCACTAAGGGTGAATAAGCATATTAAACTTCACTAAAACTAATTAATAAAATTTAACATATATATAAATATTAGAGTAAATAGGCATATGTAATAATAATAAAAAAGCTCTATTTTGAAATTTTATATATATTCATTCCATTCTATAAATAATGTTTAAGTTAACCTTTATTTTCAAACAAAAAATTTTAACTCTGACAATCGATATTTTAAATATTTTATCATACTAATAAAAATATATTTGAAAAGCTCTTTATTCAAATTGTTAATTACTTATAATATTATTTTTTTAATATTAAATTTTAAATAAGTTAAAATGACAATGGCATTTTGAAATATAATGAATAAATATGTCAAAAATTCTATACACCAGTGCTTATATTATATATATATATATATATATATATATGAATAAGCTAATAACTTCCCAATTTAATCGAATTTTTAATTGAAATTAAGTGGGAAAAATATATATGAACTTACAAATGTATATTTAACTTTATACTCTAATATATAAGACAATAATCCAATGAATAGGTAGCTATATGCAAAATTGCAATCATATACTTGCAAATTTTTTACATGTTAACGTGAGTGAATATGATAATAATCAAAACAAATTAGTGTTTCATTGATTCCAACTGTGAACAAAAGTACATAAATTAATGAAACTAGTATAGCATTTTCATCTATATCTTTAATATCTTGGGCAGTTAAACATTGAAGTTTGAAGTTCACCTGCACAAAAATAAGCAACAAATTAATTTGGCCCTTTAATTTTCTAGGTTTTCCAAGTCCTACCCCATCATAAATTGTTGCACATGGTTCATTGCACTATACATTATAATTGCATGTGGCAATCAAGGGCATGACAGATTTTAAAATAACATTGGTCGATCGATAATAATTCAGATGTAATACGTAACCAAATGTGATCGGCCAAAATTAATTGACACACATAAAAACTAATAGTTACTACTAGTAATCTCGTTGGTGGACTAAAAACTGCATCAACAGGATTAAAAGGATGAGACATACCTTTTAAGATATACAATTTGATCTATATATTTTTGTATAGTCTATTTGATATATCATGAGTTCTTGGTAAATATTAGATGAGATATCTATTTTTACATATCTAATTTTGCTTATTCAACTTGCTTAATTAGAAATATTTTATTTTTAATGTTATAATTTGGTTGGGAATTGGGTATCTAAGATTATAATTTTTTTAATTATTGGTTTGGAGAAGGGAAATTCATAGTATTTTCATTTCGCAAATGAAATCATACATCAATCATTAAATCGAATACTTTGACGTAAGGTATGATATATAAGACTTTTAGGATTGGTAATTATCTATATCTGAAATTGGTTAAATTTGAACACTCAAAATCCTTCTTTAGAAAGCATATGCATGGTTTGGCATGACTAAAGAGTTTTCTAGTGAAATTGAAGTTGCTAAGTTTAAACAGTCCTATTCGTCTGAATCACGAATTTTTCAATGAAAATATTGGTTGATGTAATTTTTATTAAATACAATTTTGATTAAAAGGAGAAATTATTGGAATAAAAAGATGTAAAGATAATTACGATAGAACCAACAAATATTCATATTCGACCGCTATAGTAGTTATATATAGCCATCTTAGATTTGGGTTATTGTCCTAAAAAGGTAAGCTCTATATTTGTAGTGTTCATATGGTAAGCAATGGTAATTGGTAAGTACCCAAAAACGCCACCCAAATAATTAAAACAGGTTGGTGTTGTGCCCTTTATAATTTAATGATTCAAAGTTTCAATCAAAACCATATCTACACACACCTAACAAAGTTGAATTGTGACTCAATTATCATATTTATTGATCTTAAATGCTCCAATAAAAAAAATAGAAACATGAGTTGAAATTAAAAAAAAAAAGGATAAAAAGAAAATATTAGATTAATTGACAATTTGTAAAAATAGAGGTGCAAGTGTGTTTGCATTCGAAATTTTTGCAATTTTCCTTTTTCTTATTGCTTGGGAATCTACCCTTTGAAATGAGAACATACTATATCTATAATCCTAGAAAAATGAGGAGTTGTTGAAAGGAATCTTGTCCTCGTCTAAGCCTCTAAGGCATCTTGTTAGTAATGTTTTAAAATTTTTTCAAGGGTAGAATTTTAAATTTTGAATTTCAATGTTCAAGCATTAATAATTTCAAATAAAAAAAATATGACTTTTTATTATTAATATTAAGAATTAATTTGTCAAAAAATATTAAAAATTAAGTTTTTGATTGATTAAAATAAATAAATAAATAAAAACTTGTTAATCTAATAATTCAATGACTTAATTATGGGACTATTTATTGTACTAACAAATTTTCCATACTTATCTTTTACTATCATTTTCACCAAACAATGCCTAAAGGAACCCAAGTGGATTAAATTACCTTTTGAGAATGTCTTTGGACCTTTATTTATTGTCACATATTTCGCATGTGATTTTTTTATTTTTTATTAAAATAATAATTATATATAGTATATTGAATTGCATATTATAGAAATAATTAAATTAATAAAGCGAATGTTAATCTAAATTTTCATATAGAATTTACTATTTTAATGTTAATATAAAATTAGAATTCTAAAGATAAAAAAAATTTAATGTAAGTCTTTTAATAGAATTATAATTTTTATTTATAAGTTGGATAAATACTATTAACATTTACAATTAAAGAAACCTTTTAAAAAGGCAATTTAAAAATTATAATGAACATTATTCAAATATATATATATATATATATAATGAGCAAATTTAACTGTTTGACAATCAAAAGTTTTATCAATATATCCTTATTTTATGTAGGCTATTAATGTTTATTGTCGCATATCTTGTACATGAATACTTTTTATTTAATTTAAATAATAATCATATAGATATATAAATGATCCTAAAGTATAAATTTTGAAGTATAGATAACTGAAATTAAATAATATCAATCCATAAAATATTCAACACTATTAAAATTAAGAAAAAAAAATGTTACCAAGGGAAGTTATTCAATGAAATTAGAATTTTCAAATTGGATAAGTCTCTAATAAATTAATTAAAAATTATTTTTAAACTTATTACTATCAATGATTTTTCAATTAAAAATCGTGTGATTTGTTAGTGAAACATGAATCCTCAAATAAAAATAAATAAATTTTCAACAATACTTTTATTGGCAAAAAAAAAAAAAAAGGAAACTTATTTCAATGGATCATTGTATAATTAGGGCAGGTATAACCTTGGGTTGGGTGAGTCGAGGAGACCCAATAGATTTGGGTGAGTACTTTAAAACTTCAGTGGCCAACTGGTTTTCTATAGAACCAACTGGACCTAAGAAAAACTAGGCTCGGTTGGATCTTAGATTTTGTAGCTTTTTTTTTTTTATTTGTTTTGTTTTGGGTCTGGGTTTGGCAAAACTGCTTTGTTGTGCTGCTTAAATTTCTCTTGGGTTCATAAAACTTGCTTGAAAACAATGTCAATTTCACAATTAAAAGAGCTTTACCATTAGATGTTTGCAAAAAACAGTTAATTTGCGTTATATAATTGTAAGCACAAGAAGAAAAAAGAAGGTTATGCATTCAACACTTCAAGGGATGTAAACATATTACATCACGAACATACATTTTATTGGGCTATTTTCATGCACACACACACACACATATATTATATATATATATATATATATTATTAATGTAAGTGTGAGCTCTCTCCATTTGTGAACTTCTCTTGGTTGGCCTTCATTTCCATGTGTACCAGCGTTGCTTCCTTCCATGGGTTGAGCCTCAGCCTCACTAGCGCTGCAACACCAGCATCCTTTTGAGGGACGGCAACATCGATGTTTGCACTTGGAATACTTTGCTTCCTCAACTTTATTTGTAGTTTCCTCTACCGCATTCTTTGCTCCTTATCAGGATCATCATACATTAAACAAATTAAAAAAGCAACAAACTAAAATAAAATTAAAGAAATAAGCCTAAGCCTCAAGTCAGAGGTGGATCCAAATGAGGCAATAGGGTTTCATAGACATCCCAAAGATTGGAAGACAAAAAAATTTGCAGGAAAATTTTTTTCTAGGTATTTCGTAAGTCGTCAAAAAATTTTTATATATTGGAAGAGGACACCTAAATAATAATAATAATAATTTCGTCGCAATCTTGGGCTGCCTACTAACCGTTGTCTTGGGTGGTCTCTCCCATGAGCCGAGCCTCGCTAGCGCTGCAACACCAACTCCTCTATAGGGTTTGCAGCATCGATGTTGGCATTTGTAATGCTTTGCATCCTCAACTTTATTACTATCCTCTGCTGCATAAAGTTTAGTTAATTAACTAATTTAACCGAAAAAAAAAAAAGAAAAAATCTGAACCTAACATTTAGTTGGTCTAACTGGGATGTTTCAGCTACCGCTGTACAACAGGAGGGAAGTGCTGCTACTGAAAACAAAAGACCCAGGAAAACAAGAGCCTTCAAATTCATTTTTTAGCAACTAAAAGAGAAATATAATATAAACTTTAGATAATAGCATGAGAGATGCAAGACATTTGTAGCTCAAATGTTATTTATAGGGAAGGAGGACGAAAGAAAGTGTGAAGGAGCAAGACACTAGGCATTTCAGAGTCGCGCCACCTAATCTAACCAATTTGGTTCCATCCCAATTTTATGTAGATATATGCAATGTAAAATCTTATCATTTTCTCTCCCTTCTCTTATACTATCATTTTAAACTTATAGGGTCTACGCATGGCTTCCAATTTATTTGGATAATGCCATCCCAAATTGATGATCATTCGGTGGGCGATGGCAAATGACAAAGTGAAATGATATAAAGATCAAATTGGAGAGTTCAAGCTCTTCTTTATATAGAAATACAATTTTTAGTTTTTTTAAATTTAAATTATATTCTTTTTATTTTTATTTTCATATCATATCATATTATTGTATTTAAAATTATTAAGCATATTGTATATATATAACTCAACATTTTAATTTTAACACATTTATTTTATATCACCAAACATAAAGTTATGAGTGCGTATGAATATTAATAAATCTCCCAAAATAAAATTATTTTATATCCGAATTGAGACAAGCATTTGGTTAATTATATAATAATGAAATATATATATTTTTTATAAATCAAATTACATTAGCATTTGTGGAATACATGCATTTTATGTGAATTTTTTGTATTGTTGATACAATTTTCAATTATTATTAAAAAGAATTATTTTGAAATATAAAGCTTAAATTATTGATAAATGAAGATAATAATATATGAAAAATTATCACATCTACTTATAGCCAAGTTTTTAAACTCCACTGTAACATTAACAGAGTAATATACCTCTTAGAATATAATAAAAAAAATAAAAAGTGAGACATTTGGTAAATTTTCAATTTCACTTGTTAAATTTTTTTAAAAAAATTTATGCTGGACCATGTTGGACTTTTGCCTTTTTCATTCTTTAAAATTGGTTTTTTTTTTTTTTTTTTCTGTCCTGTTCTTTTTTGTCCCACAAAATTGTTAGTCCAGTTATTACCACAGATTTTGGCACACTTTCCCTCCAACCCTCCCCTGCTTTTATTATTATTATTTTTTTGGGTAAAAACTTTCATTTTCTTTTTACCATCCTCTTGGTTCACCCATATATTTTTTTATGTTTTCCTCGGCAATACCAGCCTATGACAATCCTGTCAAGCCAAGAGCAGCACCTTCAGCCTCATCTCCCTTTTATTTCTTTCACTTATTTTAAAAAAATTAAAATTTATTATTTATTATATATTAATCTCAAATCTTTAATATATAGGAGATTTGTTTCTAATTTATGCATAAAAAATTAGTAAAAAATAGCTATGTTGTGAAATCTCAATTCACGTACATTTATATATGTGTTATAATATATTTTTCTCTGCATTAATTATATTTTATATTTCTTCATTGAATAGAATTGAAAAAAGACTGATGTAACATGTAGGTTTTTGGTAGGCAATAAAATATCATCACCCATATTAAAATTTATATTGCTGCAAAGGAAAGGAACTTAGAAGCAAGTTTTATCGCAGTAAGTAGAAATTTTACTACTGCATATGAAACTTCCTGCATTGGCAATTTCCAACTTCAGGGAACATAACCCTCCAACCGTTTTATTCTTACACCCTTCTTCTTATATATGTAGCACACGCATGTATATTTTTGGAGGTTTACAGTGCTGTTTTCTTATGGATTGGCTTCACTACCGTGCCTGCCACCGCCACCACGTCCTCCTCCATGTCCTCCACCACCACATCCTCCTCCATGTCTGCCACCACCACCACCACGTTCTCCGCCTCCGTATCCACTACCACATCCTCCTCCATGTCCTCCACCACCACCACCACCACCACGTCCTCCGCCTCCGTATCCACCACCACATCCTCCACCGTGTCCTCCTCCATAACAATTTCCTTGGTAGTTCACCTCGTTTTGCTGGTTTAACTCTTTCTCTGTGACATCTATATGGGCAAAACACGTTTCATTATTAACTGTTCTTACCTTTTTTTTTTTTTTACATTATAACATTCATTAAAACATGTTTAAATAAGTTTTATATCATTTATAGCAGCTTAACTTTTCGAATTTACTATGCATAGAATTCTAGATTGAAGAAATTTTACTTTGATACTGAAACAATCAGGACTGTATATATATATATATATAGAAAATTAATGTTTTTTTTTCTTAGATTTTGCTGTAAGATCAGGGCTTTACCATCAAAGCTGCAACAACTGCAACCATAGCGGCCACAATAACGATATTTATATTAAGTATTCAATTTATTATTAATTGATTGTAAGTGAAAAGATTTAATTTAAATATAAAATTAAAAAATATTAGATATTTATTATATATAAGATAAATCATTTTAACAATATGCACCGACACTTGGCATCTTCAACTTTATTCATTTCCTCTGCTGCTTCCACACGTGTAATACGTTACATTTATAAGTGAATTATGAAATAAAAAGAATTTTACATATTGTTTTATTTTCTATATTCATAATAGCATAAACAGAATATTTTTCAATGCGCACTTGATTAATATTACAAAATTGGTGAATTCAAAAACGAAAAGTTATTTTTTTCCTTTTTGGATTTTTAATTAATATGACTAAAAATGCTATAAAATACATTGAAAAAAAATATCACACTTTGTAGTCGAAAGGTTTACTTCTTTTAACATGCACTCTCTATTTTTTTTAATAATTTATTTATTTAAATTATCAAAAATAAAATTAGAGTCAAACCGACACTTATTTCAGTTGACTTTTAAATTAAAAATTTTAATTTTAATATCTTTTAACATTTTTTATTGTTTTCAGGTTGTGGTCTCTTTCGAAAAAAAGTTGAATCTAACCTTTCTCGTGATTATCTCTCAGCTTACCAGCAGTCATTAGCTTAAACTTCACCACAACAAGGGGAAAGTGTTAAATGCTACGGTACCAAAAGTGGTGGTTTCTCTTGATTAAGAATTACTTTATGTCATGAATAAAGAGGATGTGTAACCAACTTATAAAAAGAACCGTGAGAAAATGAGACGCATAGGAGGGCCAGGCTACTAACGTTTCTGATCCTTGGCTTGAGCTGCCATGAGCTGTGCCTCCGCGTAGCTGCAACACCTGCACCCACGGTGGCTGCAACAGCGATATTGGCAAGCATTATCACCTTGATTTGTTTCCTCCGTTGCATCCGCTGCACAAGTTATAGAAGACTTTCAATATCTAAACCCAAAAAAAAAAAGAAAAAAAAAAGACTTTCAAATGTGAATTTTACAATGAATTTCAATCGCTTTCATCCCATTTTTCATTATTCATGTAACGAGACAATAATTGCTCCGATTGTGATAATCAAATAGGACTGAATGTCTAACATTTCTATCCAAAAAAAAAAAATGCATGAAAGGAATAAGAAGCAACAAACAAAAGAAAGTATATAATTATACACAGTGTATATTTATAGGAGGAGATATTAACATTTAGTTTCGTCTTTGGAATTTTCAGCTACTGCAGCCGAAAAGAAGAGAAAATTTGCGAAGAGAAGAGCTAGGAATATAAACAGCTTGAACTTCATTTTTCACACCAAACGTTAACACTCGAATTTCCAAGTTTTAGTTAGAATTTTGAGAAGGATACATACGAGGATATACCATGCAAAAGCGGTTATTTATAGTTCAAGGGAGAGGAGTAACAAACAAAAAAGATTGGCGGTGAGGGAGTGATGGCACAGCCCATTAAAAAGTGGTCAGCAATGTACGACTAATTAATTAGTTGGCTGACGATCAATCGGTTTGGCTGTATATTCTTTTTCAAAATCTTATCTATTCTTTTGACGCAAATGTAAATTGCATGAAAGCCATCTGGTTGGTCTGAGCTCAGGGACTACTGAATTACATGCATGGGAACTGCCACGTGAACTTGAATGATTTCATCAACAATGCTGCCAACTCTAATTTGTTATGTTAGATCCAAATTTGTTCTATTTTTCATAGTCAAATTTTTTCTTTCCAATTTCTGATCTCATATATGATTTATGTACTCGAAAGAGATCGGATAAGTTCCTTCCATATTGAATGTCCATCATAGACGAGTTGGATCGATTCATGTTGGATTTAAGTATGATATTAATATTTTATATATTTATTTCAGTTCAATTTGAACCAATAATTTGGATTTTAAATTTTGTCAAGACTTGTGCAAATTATTAAATAGTAATATGATATAGTCCAAACTCGTTCCAAATAAATTTTTTAAAAAATAAATAAAAACATTGTATTTCCTATTTAATTTTCAATTATTTTTTATTAATTTTAAAATATAAATAACTTAACATATTTTTTAATATTTACAATATAATATATTACATACTTATCTTTTATATAATATAAATACCATAATACATATAAATATAAAAATAATATATTATATAATTCAAACCGAATTGAGCCGCACTCAAGTTTTGAATCAAAATCAAAGTAAAGCCCTTTTAAAATGGGTTTATTTTCCTGTTTAACAGACTAAATATTTTTACTCAAACATTCTCAAATATTAGGTTTCCTTTGATTTTTTTTTTTTTTTTTTTTGGGTTTCCTTTGAATTTAGACGGATAGCCGGCGTATTGACACATCTACTCCATCCCTCCTACCAGATAAAAAAGGCAAGTGCCAAAATAATAAAGAATAGAAGGGAATAGCTGAAATAATTATTATCATCTATAAGGTTTTGAAATTTTATAAGCAAATTTAAAAGGTTTTTATTAAATAAATAATTATGCTAATTTAATGACTTTGTTATCCATAACTTTTGTCCAAAAGATTAATTATTTAAATTTGTTGTTAGAACTTAAAATTTTACCTCTAATGTTTAAGCAATAACATTTAATTTATAAGATAATGTACAATAATAAAACCCCAAAGCTATGGCCATATGTTATAAACTTGTACCGGACTGATTGGGCTTTAATAATAATAACTTATAGTATGTTAATGCGTAGGATAAACCTCATTTACACCTCCTTTATTTGACTATTCCCACATTATGTCCTTGTACTTTCAATTTTTTTAGATAATCCCCTGTGATAAAGTTCCATTCCTAAAGGGATTACATCGTTCATTTCATTTGGCAAAATTATAAAAAAAAAAAAAAAACTTTAAGTGTAAATGAATAAAATACATTTTGAATTAATTAAGTGTATTTCCATAATTTTGCAAGATGAAATTAAGCCTTCTGAGAATGGAACTTTACAACATGGGGCTATATGAGAATATTAAAAGTACAAGGGTTCGATGTTGGAATGGTTCAAATCACATGGGATGTAAATGGGATTTATCCTAAATATTTATTGATGTTGAATCTTTTAAGCGTATCTCCACTACTAACTAGTAGTGTGGATGTTCAATTTTTTATTCTGGGATAATTAAGATATATTGAAATTAATCTATGATTGTTTCTTAAAAAAAAAGAATTTAATCTATGATTAAAATTATAATGATTTTAAAGTGGGCAAGGAAATAGATAAAAATAATTTAAAAAATATGATATGATAAATTTTAATCTTAAATTTATGTAAAAGTATATGAATCAATTTATAATTAAACGTAATGGACATGTTTATTATTTTCTAATTATGGAAAGGATACTCTCTCCGAGGCAAACTCTGTAAACAACTTTCTTTTTTGGCCAACCTAAATAAACAACTTTAAAACAACTCGATCATTAAAAAGAAAAAAAAATAAAATAAAAAGTAGACTTAAGTGAGGATCGGTTAAACTCAAACCAATAAGTGACATATGGACTCAAGCGCCCGACGGCCCAATCTTCTTCTCCTTTCAACAATCTCATTTAATTTATTTTATCAAATTTTCAAATTTAAATGGAATAACCGCAAATTAATAGTTAGGGAGTGAAATTTATTCCTAAACCTATCGTTGAAGGCCTCACTCTCTAAATACTACGCAAAAGTAACATGGGAAAAAAGACAGGAGAAATAAAGAAAGACTTTTGTTTGTTTTTTTTTGTTTTTGTTTGGAACTTAGGATTTTATTCAAAGATAAAGAAGTCATGATTTTATTCATTAATATTTCATTTGGAAATGTGATAATGTTGGGGCATTTATAATTTTATTTTAAATGAATTAATCGATTGAATCAATTTAGTTTGATTAATTGACCTATCATCAAATTAATTTCAGTTAGTTAATAAAAATAATTTTTAAAAAAAATTTAATTTTCGATTAATTCAATTAAAAAAATCAAATTAATTAAAATATAATTCAAATAAAAAATAAAAAATATATGAAATGTATCATTTTATTTGATAAATTATTAAAATTTTTAATATAATATTTTGATATTTGAATTTTTTTAGATAATTTTATTTAATTTATTTAAAATATAATTTAACCTAAATATATTTATTATTCGATTAATTAAAAAATTAATCGAATTGATTGAATTAAATTCAATCAACTAATTTTTAAAATTAATAAATTTAATTCAATTAATAAAATAAAATAAAATTAATTAAATTTTAAATAATTGGATTCAAAATTAAATGAACACCCCTAATTTAGTTGTGAGGATCAGCTTGGGTTTCTGGTTCCACCGCCAGACCCGGGTAGTAGCAGCACTTTCGGCAACCTTTTAATAATCAGAACGACAGCAACCAAAGGCGCAGCGTCCCCCATACCCTCTACGTCAGCGGTATCCACCATAACCACCTCGCCCTCCAGAACCTCTGTATCCACCTGGGCCTCCATATCCACCATACTTGGCATCATCTATTCCGATTGTTCCGTGCTCACCTCACCTATAAATTAATTTATAATGAACATGTTAGATAACCCAAATGCTTATATAAACTAGCTAATTGATTATTAATATGTGATATCAATGTCGGGAATAGTGTACTAAAAATTGTCAAGCAAGTTATGGTTTTCATGGAAGTTTATATGTGACGTCTCACAAGTAATTAAACAAACTGTTGAAGTCAACAATCACATATATACAGCAAATAGTTAGCAAACAATGAGAGGAGATAAAAAGATTAAAGAACCCCAGTAGACCATTCTTCTTTTCTGAGGAAATTTCAGCAAGGTCTCTAGCTGCCACCTCCGAAGAAATGAAGAGAACAGCTGCTAGAAGAGCAAGGAGAAGGAAAGCTTTTGAACTCATAATTTTCATCAAAGATAGCAAACCTTTCACAAAGTACTATTGGAAGGGGATGTAAAACAAAAGGCACTCTTCATCTCTATATATAGGCAGAAAAAGAACTGAGAAAAAAGTTTCAGCTACATTAGTGTAGTTATGGGGTGTTGAAAGAGTTGTCAAGTCTATTCAATTTATTAAACTGAGTTGTCAGTTGCCACTGTATACCATTTTGAGCCCATCCCATTTGCCTTAATTAAAATTGAATTCAGAGGTCAGACTTGCCCCTACCGGTTAGAAAGACTCAGCTCACAACAATACACGTCGATTAATCCAACATTGCATGTTTTTGAGGGCATGAATAAATGCAAAGATAATAATAATAATCAAGGGATGTTGAAGCATTGAATGCTACTTCAGTGGACTTCGTCAATCACTGTTTCTTCCTTGTCCCAATCCATACGGTGCCTCAGAGTTATGCATGTGGATCTCTCAAATGAATTTAATTTGGTCACTTTCTTTATCTTATGTAAAATGTCTAAAACAAGGTAGGAGACTGATTTAGGATCACTACAAAAGGTTAAATATTGAAAAAGATAATAGTAACCAATCCAATAATGTTTCAACATCTATTGTGATTGTAGATTCCAATCTTGCTTAGCAAAGGCAATTCACCAAGCTTTTTTAGTTTTATATATCAATATCTATAGATAAATTTATATGCTGGAATAGATATATATATATATATTATATATTAAAATTTTTTCAATTTTACATACTTGATATATATTGATTAAGATCAGTAATTCTCATTTTGTAGTTTGCTAGCTTTCTTAGGAAATCTAGGCTTTGAAACTATATGGTACTCTTAAATCTCTGCCAACTGAACTTGAAGCAATTCCTTACTCAATTTCTAATTCCTCGGCTAAAAAAGGAGTTGGGAGATCTAATAGTTTCTAATTCCTCTAGTTGTTCATTTGAAAAGTTAAAGAAAGTTCATTCTTACTTTCCCTGATCA